GGCGCCCAGAACTGGACGCAGTACTCCAGCTGCGGCCTGACCAGTGCCGCGTAGAGGGGGAGGATCGCCTCCTTGGTCCTGCTCGAGAGGCAACTGTGGATGCACGACAAGGTACGGTTGGCCTTCCTGACCGCGTCCCCACACTGTCGGCCCATGTTCATTGTGGCATCAATAATGACTCCAAGATCCTTTTCTGCCTCTGCACCGATGAGAAGGGAGTTCCCTAGCCTGTAGGTCTGCTGCTAGTTCTTCCTCCCCACGGTCCTTCCTCCCTTTTTTGAAAATGGGGACCACATTGGCCCTTTTCCAGTCCTCTGGCACTACACCAGAGCACCATGAGTGCTCGTAAAGCCATGCCAGGGGTCCCACAATGACCTCTGCTAATTCCCTCAGCACCCTGTGGTGGAGATCATCTAGACCTGCTGATTTGAACATGTCCAGTCCCTCAAGAAGTTCCCTGACTAGGTCCTTTCTGACCGTAGGCCTCGGTGCGCCTCTCCTGGGGCCGACGGGGGGTCCTGGTCGGGGGGAGGGTGACCCGGTCCCTGCTCAGAAAAATGGAGGCAAAGAAATTGTTAAGTAGGTTAGCTTTGTCACCTGGTGCAACGACCAGATTTCCTAGCATGTCCTGCAGAGGCCCCTTGTTACCCAGTACCTTCTTTTTACCCCTTATGTATTTAAAAAAGGACTTCTTGTTGTCCTTGATTCAGGTCGTTAGTCCCAGTCCCATCTCTGCCTTGGCCTTCCTGAGCGCCCCCCTGCAGCCACGAGCAACTGAGGTGTAGTCCTCCCTGGTGATGGCCCCTCCCTGCCATCGGGTGTACGCCTTCTTTTTAGCAAGGAGATGTTCCCGGATGCTTTTGGTGAGCTATGGGGGCTTTTGAGCACTCTTGCCCCCTTTGATCCGCATTGGGATTACCTCCCTTTGTGCTTGGAGGATCATCTCCTTAAGGAACGACCACTCTTTTTGGACTCTCAACTCTCCTCCCCTCCAGGACCTCAGTCCTCCCCGACTAGTCTCCTTACCTCATTAGAGTCCACCCTCCTGAAGTCCAGGGCTGCTGCCTTGCTGCAGGCTTTGCCACCTTGTGCTGGATGGTGAATCCCAGCAGGCGATGATCGCTGTTGCCCAGGTGGTCGAGAACCCGCAGACCCCTCACCAGGTCATCACCCATGATCAGGACCAGATCGAACAAGGCATCTCCCCTGGTGGGCCTGTGTACCTCCTGGGTTAGGTGGAGGTCCTGTATCCCGACTAGGAACCTATGTGAGCAGTCAGACCTGGCTGACTGCTCCTCCCAGCAGATACTAGATAGTTTAGGTCACCCATGATGACCACATCCTTTGACCTAACTACCTCCATGAGTTGACCTGAGAATTCCCGGTCTAGCACTTCCCCTTGGTTGGGTGGTCTGTAGTAGACCCCCACCGTTAAGTCCTTTTCCCCTTGACCCTCTTGTATTCTGACCCAGAGCACTTCAGTGTGCCCCTCATCTGACCTTGTGCTACTAGACGAGGATGTGTATTTCTCCTTGACATAGAGCGCCACACCCCGACCTTTCCTCCCTGTCCTATCTTTCCTGTAGACCCTGTAGCCCTTGATATTCACCGCCCAGCCATGTGTTGGGTCCTACCACATTTCTGTGAGCCCCACTATGTCTGGGTTGGTATCAGCTAGAAGGAGGGTAAGTTCCTCCTGCTTGTTCCCCATACTACGAGCGTTTGTGTAGAAGCATTTGAGGCCTCCTGAAGATGTGTGCTCTGGCCCTCTAATCTCAGTTCTACCCGGGACCCAGTTGCTTACCTGGGTATTCATTCTGCTCATCGTTGGTCTAGGCTGGGCTGTTCTTGTGGGTGATGCTTGGTTTAGTGGTCCAAGGCTTCCTCCAGCCTCATCTTCCCCTTCCCCCGATGAGCCTAGTTTAAAGCCCGCTAGAGGAGATCCGTCAACCTAGAAGAGTACACACGCTTACCTTTGTGGGGAAGGCGAAGCCCATCCCACCCGAGCATGTCTCTCATCGTGATGTGCGGGTTGTTGTCTAGGAAGCCAAAGCCCGCCTCGAGACACCATTCCTAAAGCTGCAAGTTGGTCTCTCTGATGCAGGTCTCATGTCGTCTTCCACATCCTCTTACTGGCAAGACAGAAGAGAATACCACCTGTGCCCTATCTCCTTCAGCACGCCCCCCAGAGCATGGTAGTCTGTCATCAGGTGATCAGGGCTTCTCCTGGCCGCATCATTAGTGCCCACATGGATTCATAGATTCACAGATTCATAGATGTTAGGGTTGGAAGGGACCTCAATAGATCATCGTGTCCAACCCCCTGCATAGGCAGGAAAGAGGGCTGGGTTTAGATGACCCCAGCTAGATGCCT